GTTTTCTTTCCAATTTTCTGATGTAGGCACTTAGAGCTATAAACTTGCCTCTAAGGACAGCTTTCAGCATGTCCCAGAAGTTTTGTTGTGTTGTATTGTCTTTTCATTTAGTTCCAGGAATACTTTAATTTCTTTTTAAATTTCTCTTTTGACCCATTCATCATTCAGAAGTGTGTTCTTTAATCTCCATGTGTTCATGTGGTGATTAGGGCTTCTTCAGGTGTTAATTTTAAGCTTTATTGCATTGTGGTCTGACAGAATGCATGGAATTATTTCAATCTTTTTGCATTTGTTGAGGTTTTGTTTGTGCCCCAGTATATGGTCGATTTTGGAGAAAGTTCCATGGGGTGCTGAGTAGAAAGTATGTCCTTTGGTGTTTGGGTGGAATACTCGGTAAATATCTGTTAAGTCCATTTGATATATGGTTTTGTTTAATTCAGATGTCTCTCTGTTAAGTCTCTGGCCTGTTGACCTATCTAATGGAGATAGTGGGGTATTGAAGTCCCCTACTATTAATGAGTTGGGGTTAATTGTACTGTTTTTATGAAGTTGGGTGCACCAGAGTTTGGTGAATATATGTTCTTGATTGTAGTATCGTCTTGATTTATTGTTCCTTTGATCAAAATAAATTGGCCCTCTTTATCTCTTCTGGTTAGTTTTAGTTTAAAGTCTATTTTGTCAAATATTAGAATTGCTATGCCTGCTTTTTTCTTATTGCCATTTGCTTGATATATTTTTTTCCCTCCTTTCACTTTAAGATAGCGTCTGTCCTTGAAAGTGAGATAAGTTTCTTGCAGACAACAAAAAGATGGGTTTTGTTTCTTAATCCATTCACCTAGCCTGTGTCTTTTGACTGGGGAGTTCAGTCCGTTAATATTTAAAGTTATTAATGAAAGATGGGTATTGAATCCTGTCATTTTTATTTCTGTTTACATTAGTGAAATAGCTGTATTTTTCCACACTTATACCTTCATTGGATTACTTTCCGCAATCCCTTGGGTATAGTCATTCCTTTCTTCAGCTCTTTGTATTGCTCCCAGAACTCTCTGAAGGGCTGGTTTTGTGGACATGAATTCCTTCAGCCTATTTATGTCATGGAAGATTTTTCTTTCCCCTTCGACTATAATAGACATTTTGGCGTGATATCGAAATCTGGGTTGGCATCTGTGGGCATTTAAAACTGGGAATACTTTGGTCCAGGCTCCTCTGGCTTTCATAGTTTATGCTGAAAAGTCAGCTGTAATCCTAATGGGTTTTCCTTTATATGTGTTATGTTGTTTCTCTTTTGCAGCTTTCAGTATTGTCTCTTTGTTTTGTATGTTTAGTGTTTTTACTATTATGTGCTGTGGAGAGTTTCTTTTCTGGTCCTGTCTATTTGGTGTTCTATATGCTTCTTGTATTTGTATGGGCATGTCTTTCTTTAATTTTGGGAAAATTTCTTCTAAAATCCTGTTGTAGATTTGGTCCATGCCATTATCTTGAGGGACTTCTCCTTCTTGTATGCCCATGATTCATAAG